TTGAATGGGCAAACACTGGGCTTTTTGTCATGCTTGTCAAACCTTTGATGCAAAACTTTGGTAAAAAGTTTTTCTTATGTGAGGTATGCTTGGTGCCTTTTAGCATTTATAGTTAACCATTTTAATACACAACTTTTTTAGCCTTTATTTTCCCCATGTTCTTGCATTAGTAGTTTACAGTATATGTGTCTAATTGTTGGGAAAAGTCAGATTACTATGAAATAAAAATGTAAAACCTTAGTAACATTGGTTAGAGCATAGAACCTCCATGGCTACAGTATATCACCAACAGTTTCTCCATATTCAGACGTCATGTTTATATTTATGGATATGGCAGATGCTTTTATCCATAGTGAGGACATAACAATGAAGTTATAACAATATAGTCAATAAAAAAACTAAATGACATGACAGTGCAAAGCTAAGTACATAAAGAGAGGGCAGTAGAGGCCGTACCTTTTGATTCCTATGAAATAATTGTTCAATTTTATTGAGAACAAGAATCTTAAGCATGTAGCGTGTATTTGTATTCACTTTACTCTGACACCGCTAAATTAAATCTGGGGTATCCAACAGACTTCAGAGGTCAATAAGAAAAAAGTTACTTTTGTATTTCATGTCATTCTAAACACACTTAAGTAGAAGTCTAAGAGTTTTGCTAACTCAAAAGAACAGATAAGGTTATAAAAGCCAAAGAACGGTCAGATATAGTTGTGGAGATGCAAGATCTAATGCAAGGGTCTGTTCAAAAAGTCAGCTTCAACGATAAATACAAGGTCATCCACTTAAGCTACGAGCTGCAAGGTTAGGAAATAATCATAGAAACAGATAAGAGGCCTCAGGAAGCTCTGGAGGGACTACAGTGAAGCACAGCTAAGGAGGGAAAATCTGTTATTGTGATGGCAATAAGTTGTGACCTCCACAAATATGCTCTTTCCTGTAGTTTAAAACGATCAGAAGTAATTTGTTATAAGGTAGTTATGAAAAACCAAAGATAAAACTAACAATAGGCACAAAATGTGCTTAAAACTCTTTGAGTCTCTCTGACTCTTCCTATCCCGGAAGAATGGGGCCATCACAGTCCTTCATAAGACAGTCCCCTTAAAGGAAACACCTGTCTTGACCGCGCCACGCCTGCCCAATAAATGAATCCACTTTCCCTGATCAGTGAGTAGGGATGTGAGGCAAAGCACAATTGTTTCAGCTCAAAGTTGAGACAAAGTGGCTCACTTAGCATCTAATTTGCACTGTGACAGCAATTGTTCATTGTTAGTTAATGTCTAAGTCAAGTAAAGTCTAAGTCTTTTTTTGTTTTTTTGTTTTTTTACCATGGGGGCTCAAACTTTTTCCAGGCCTTCTAAAGAGGACCCAAATCTGCAAAAGTGGTGTGACACAGCAAGGTCAGAAAATGAGCGGTACCCAGAAGGGTTGGAAGAAAACAACTAAAATGTCATAAAAAATAAAACTATGTGGTGCAAAATAAAATTTATCATGATATATATGCCTATAGTTGACTTTGAAATATTTAATATGATATTTGTATGATATAGCAACTTTTAAATTCTGTCCCACAAGCATAATTATTAGTATTTAGACAGATGCCAAATGACAATGATTGTTGTGGCAGATTATCTGTGACAGAAATCCAAAATGGCACATCGCTCTAAACCTACTGAGTCATTGGGCCTTTTTCTTTCTGTATTACTTTCTTTCTTTGTTACTTTCTTTCTTTGTTTTCTTTCTTTCTCTCTTTTTTTCTTTCTTTCTTTCTTTCTTTCTCTCTTTCTTTCTTTCTTTCTTTCTTTCAATTGCAAAGAAAACATGACTGATTAGACAGACAGACGGATGGACGGACAGAGAGATAGATTTAGCTCTGTTGTTAAATAAGAGAGCAATAGAAAACTGCCACCTGTGTAAAGAAGAAGCATATTCCTTATAAAGAAGCCTTATTTTTTAATGTTGTTTTCTTGTTATATTTTGTGTGCTGTCAGTTTGTGGTAAATATGTTTCAGAGCACTGAAAAAAGAGGCTACTAAGGCTGTTTGAAAGGGAGCATCTGTGAACGGTTATCTTAAGGAGGTAAATAATAGACCCATTAGGCACAGCGTTTCCGTGCTCTATTCTCTTCTTAAAGACACTGATGAAGGTCAAGCATAAATGGCTGTTGCTCCCTGTTTAAGCCATAGAGTCGGAGCTTAGTTACAACTCTGGGACTGGCTCACATAAAAGAGTCTGCCAACAATGCTGCTGGCCTAGATAGGCAAAGCAAACACAATAGTGTGGCTGTGCTAATTTAGAGCAGATCAGCTTTAGGCTATTGCAAATTTAAAAAAGGCTATGAATAAGCCAAATTAAGTATTCAAATGCTCCAAATCCAATGTAGTTGTCATGGTAATACTGTATTTCAATGGTGCATTTAAATATGTATATATTATTTTATCTATTTTCACCTTGCTTTGGCTGCCTTGCATCTAGTGGCAGTTTTTTATGTTGTCCATAATGAAGTCTTCTACCTCCTTTAGAATATGTTCAGTAAAACATACTGTGCAAGGTATTTAGGGAAAAGATTGTTCTTCACCTAGATTTTACATTTTTTCTCATTTGAAAAAAGACAATATTTGTCAGGATACATATATTTCCCTTAAGTTTATTCAAAAACAAAAATGACATTGATTTGACTTTTTCATCAAAGTAAATGTATAATCATAGTAATGTTTGCTTGCATCATAGGAAATCTAGAAATGGTCAAAGTCATTCCACTTCATAAAATATTTATCCATCAAATATTGTGGAATTCTACAAAAAAATAAGAAAAAAAAGCACAAAAAACCAACATAATAAAATAAAAAAATCTGTTGCATTCTCTTGCAACACTACACAGCTACAGTAACTGCATTGCACCATTTGACTGAAGTTTGTTTTGGGGTTTGACTTCAAAAAGTTTTAATACCATTTGTTTCCATTCTTATAGATTCCCAGTGGGTAAACACACATAAGTGGGATACCAATTTTTTTCTCTTGATTTTAAATTGATTTTCTTTTTCCAGTCAAGACAAAACTCTTAAGCTATCTAAGCTCTGCAAGGATGTCAAATCTTCACACTTGGTGTCCCGGTTACATCCCTTTTGAACACAAGCACCTTCAAGTGAAATTAATCAATCTCTTTATCACATGAGCAGTGTCATTACCCAACCACAGAGTGAGAAATGAAAGTGCTAATCGCACAGCAAGCGGGGCCTCTGTGTGGGAAGGCCAAGTTTTCCCCACTCAGGCAGCATTGCAAATGCATGTACAATTGAGCTTTTTAAGGCGAGGAGAGACAGAATTGAGAACTTACTTCAAAATTCTTTGTAAAGAAAATTGGAATATGACAGCATCTTTGAATACAGTTCTCCAAAAAAAATTTTTTTGCATATGAACAGAAAGCTTGATCTATTACTGTACATACAAGTTTCGAACCATCCTTTTACACTTGGTTTTTGTGCATTGTATTCTTCCGGTGTTTTATCTTTGGAAAAGGAAATAAAAGAAAACAGCTATATTATTTCCATTAATGTATTGCAAATATGTAAAATAAGAGCTGTGAATCTATAGTGTACATAT